GTCCTAAAACATTTCTTAAGTAGATTCAAAATGTGGAGAGGTTGAACGCTCCATTCGATTACATGGATTTGGGTCATACGGCGGGTACGCTACTGAGAGAGGGTATCAATCGAGCGACGATCCGACCTCCGCCTGAACCACCACCATGGGTTGTACAAGGTGCTAGAGTCCATGAAAGTTTTCCTAGTAATTTTTATTTGTTTGTCATTTGTTTTCTTGTGTTCATCTTTGTTGTTGGTTTTGTCAGTTTGTTTGAGTTTTTAGCCTTTCTTTATGTCATTGGGTATGGTTGGGTCTATGGGAACAGGTTTGGCTGTGTCAAACACACTACATGGTTAGTGATTCGTGTTGCTCTTTCAGGAGTGACCGTCTCAAAGTCTGATCATAGGATTTAGAGTCGTAGTTGTTGGAGTTCAGTTGGTGTCAGTTTTATTTTCCCTTAGCTTGATGTAATGATCCTGAACTTTTTTGATATGATTAGAGGCTTGTTTTGATGATAAACAAAGTAGATTCAAATGTTAAAATTAAGATCTCTAGTTAAAATATTTTTTTAATACCTTTTAGTTATTTTTTTCAAAAATAAGTCTGAAGTAACAGCCAAAAAACTAAACTCTAAATTTATTCATCTTTACATTGGAATGTTTGATTTTTTGCATAATTATTAGCAAAAAAAAAGAATTTGAGAAAAAAATGGTGTATAATAATAAGAGTAAAGGTTTTAATTAAAACAATTACTAGATAAATATATTAACGGTGCTTGATTATAAGAAAAAAATTGAATTGACTAAACCAACACGTATAAATTAGTGAAAGAATTTAATTTATTGAGATAGAGGATCGTGATTAAGCTAAGGGTAGCGACGAACTAATCATGTAACAATGATGTGATAAAGTACTCTGTATAATACCATCGTATAAAGTAGTACTCCGTATATGAATTGTTAAACACCAGAGATAACAGATGACATAAGCAGTGACTAATGTGACTATTCTTTTCTGAACTTTTGGATAACTTCGTGGTCCTTCACTACAAAAAAACACGGAGTTAGTCACGGACCATAGTATAAAAAATCCGTGACTAACTACGCTAGTCACGGACTTTTTCCGTGACTAAATCCGTGACTGTTTGGGCGTGACTAATTCTAGTCACAGCCGTTTTTTCCGTGACTAAGTGTAGTCACGGATTAGTCACGGACCCTATCCGTGACTAAATTTAGTCACGGACCAATCCGTGACTGCTTTTTCAAATTTCAAATGTGACCGCCAGTTTAAATTTTCAAAATTTTAAAACGAAGGTTATTAATGTAACAATAATACTAACTAATTTTAAGTAATTTATTTCACTAAATAATCAACTAACTAATTTTCACTAAATTAAATGAAATGCACACAATTCACAACAATAATGCACAAAATATAAGTAATTACCTAATACTTAAATTTAACTAATATTACAAAAAATTTAAGTAATTTAACACTACATTTAAATTAAACATACGTTTAACTAAATTTAACTAATTCATTTAGTTAAATTTAACTAAATTTAACTAGTTCATTCCGTCCCCTTTTAATGCATCACTACGTTTAAACCTACGTTTAGCTAACTAATTTAACATAATTAACACATCACTAGCTACGTTTAAACCTACGTTTAGCTAACGAATTTTAATTAAATTATTTTTGTAAACCTACATTTAAACCTACACTAAATTATTACGTTAATCACGTTTAATCTTATTAGTACTACACAATTAACAATTCACTAAATTAAATAATATGACCAAATTAAACCCAATAATTTGAACATGTATATAAAGTCATTTGAATTAATAAATAATACACAATTACAATAACAATTCACAATACACTTAATTAACACATTACTAACGTACGTTTAACTAAATAATTTCACTTAACATAAACATCATTACGTTTAAAACTACGTTTAGCTAACTAATTTTAATTAAATTATTTTATAAACCTAACAGTTTAACTAATTTTATGACATTACTACGCTTACAGTTGAATATGTTGTTAATTAATTAACAACCTCACTAATTTAATAGTTTTAATAATTTAAATTGAACCAACTAATTCTAAATAAAAATAATAATTCAAATAACATACCTTAACTGCATAAACGGGGAAAATGATAGAATATAGACTACATCCTTCGATCTTTCAAACAGATACTGTATATACTGGGAATGAATTGGTGTGGTTCTGTTGAATGAGCTGCTCCTGCATATATAAAAAATTTAGTCACGGACTTAGTCACGGATTTGTCCGTCACTAACAGAAACCGTGTCCATTACGCGTCCAACCCGTGTTAATGACGTGTAAATGACGTGTTAATCAACATAGTCACGGACATAGTCACGGACATGTCCGGAGGATGTTAGTCACGGATTTGGTGATAAAAAAAGTAGATTCAAATGTTAAAATTAAGATCTCTAGTTAAAATATTTGTTTAATACCGTTTAGTTATTTTTTTCAAAAATAAGTCTGAAGTAACAACCAAAAAACTAAACTCTAAATTTATTCATCTTTACATTGGAATGTTTGATATTTTGTATAATTATTAGCAAAAAAAAAAAGAATTTGAGAAAAAAATGGTGTATAATAATTAGAGTAAAGGTTTTAATTAAAAAAATTACTAGATAAATATATGAACGGTGCTTGATTATAAGAAAAAAATTGAATTGACTAAACCAATACGTATAAATTAGTGAAAGAATTTAATTTATTGAGATAGAGGATCATGATTAAGCTAAGGGTAGCGACAAACTAATAATGTAACAATGATGTGATAAAGTACTCTGTATAATACCATCGTATAAAGTAGTACTCCGTATATGAATTGTTAAACACCAAAGATAACAGATGACATAAGCAGTGACTAATGTGACTATTCTTTTCTGAACTTTTGGATAACTTCGTGGTCCTTGTTGACCTAGAAAATACTACTTCCGGCTTTGCCAATTCTATGTTGATTGTGAAATAAGAAAAATAAATATGGTATGAATGAGATTTGTGCAGTGAAAAGATAAATACATTGACTTAAAATTTAATTATTTAAGTGAAAAATGAAAAAAGTTTTGGGACAAATTAAAAAGGAAACTTAAAAATAAGACATCCAGAGTTTTAGACCTTTTATTTTTAATTAAAAAACCTAAAAAATGTAAAATTTAATTATGAAATCTTAAATTTAGCATTTGAATTTTCTAAAAAAACAAAATTTTGGGCTTTATTTTCAAAAAAGTTCTAGGCCTAAAAATCTCTACCAATTGGATCTTCAAATTTTTTATTTTATTTTTACATATATATGTAATATTGGTAGTATATGAAAAATCATAAAAAATTATGAATTTTGATATATTTTTATAAAGAGAAAAGGGTCAAATAAGGCCTTCAACTATTATGAAATCGTCACATAAGGTCATGTACTCGATAAAGTGTTATATAAATAAGTCTACTTGTAAAAAAACAATCAAATGAGTCCTAATGACCAGTTGACAACCTCTTACCGATTTTAGCTTACGTGTCAATTATTTTTACTTGTATTTCAACCAACCTTAGTTAAATATCTGATTTCTGCCGTATAATCTATTCTAAAAATATGGTCAGAAGTACGCTAAAATTGGGATTATGAGGTTGTAAATAGGTTGTTTAGACTCATTTGATTGCTTTTTACAAGTAGACGTATTTATATGACACTTTATTGAGTATATGGCCTTATGTGACGATTTCATAATAGTAGAAGGCCTTATTTGACTCTTTTCTCTGTTATAAATATTGGAGTACAAATAAAAAAGTTATAACACTTCAAAAAGAACATGTTTTTTCTCCTCCTTTTTCTCCAAATGATTTTGGGGAATTAATTAAATGTTTTAGTTAAGAGTGATAATAGAAATTTGTGTGTAGCGTATGTACTTGTACAAGAATGATCCTGTCCGAACGTTCGGACAGGATCCTCCGTCCGAACATCCCTGTTTGGGGCCCTTCTCGGTGGAATTTTTTGATGAAAGTTTTTGAGCATGTTCCTCATCAAGTGTAGTTTGTCCATACTAAATTTCAGCTCAAAATGCGATCGGGAAGTCATTCAAATAATTTTTTGAAGTTGACTGCGTTTTTATATGTATATTTTGACGCAGTCAACTTTAAAAAATGATTTGAATGCCTTCCCGATTGAATTTTGAGCTGAAATTTGGTATGGACAAACTAGACTCGATGAGGAACATGCTCAAAAAATTTCATCAAAAAATTCCACCGGGAAGAGCCCCAAATGTCCATGTTCAGACGGTGTTCGGACCAGGAATGTTCGGACCTGAACATTATAATTGGTATTTTTTATTATGGAGAACTAAGTAACAAACGCTAAAGGTTTTCGTGTGTAGCGTATGTAGTTGTATATACTCCACTTGGTATTTTATTATGGTTGTAATTTGACTTATTTTTGTCAAAGAGTTTCATTTTACACTTAATTAATTAGTACTCCCTCCCTTCCTAAATGATCATTCCGTGAAAACTCAGATTATTTTTGGTAAATAAAATGTACATATTCAGAAATTACATTAAAACCGCTACAAACCCTTCAAAAAATAATTCAATTTTCATAAAATTGACTCTCGAAAAGTAAGAGACTAATAATGATTTAAGTTGACTCTCGAAAAGCGGAATGAAAGATCTTTCAAGGTACAGAAAGAGTACATCAATTCTTAATTAAATTTTGATTTAAATTTTCCAACTTCATATAGATTTTAATGTAGTTTCTGAATATCTAAATTTTTAATATTAAAATCGAATTATTTATAAATAGGGATAGAGGCAGTATTGTACTAGTATCCACTAATTAATTAGAAATAAAATACTACGTAATAGGAATACTTTTTTATTTTTTATTTCTAAAGACCTTTTTTATATTTTATACTCCGAATTAACTTAAACAAGGGCAAGGTGAGTGCCTATAAATTCAACCAGTGCATACATGGATTATTTGTCCTCCTTCACTTCCATTTTTATTTTCTATTTGGACACTTTAATTTATCGCTTGCATTTTTAGGTCTCAAAAGATTGTTCAAGCTAGAAGGGAAGATGAAGACCAAGGCGAACTCGTCAACTAAAGAACTTGTAATTGTCATCCTTTTACTGATCACTCTCATCGCTGACGTGTGTGCAGATCCAGTATCCGCAGTAGCTGCAGGTCACGGCGGCGGTGGCGGTGGTCACAGTGGCGGCGGTGGCGGTGGTCACAGTGGCGGCGGGGGCGTGCACGGTGGGGAACCTGAGGGAGGCGGCAGTGGTCCTCGAGTGATCCCAGCCGTGAATGGTAATAATAATAATCAGCACAGAAAAGGGAATGGCGCCGGCCAACTCATCAAACCGCCCTTCATCCTACCCGGCCGCCATGGCTTTGCTTGGGATACTTTCATGTTTGGACTTCATCTTGACGCCGTCATCATCCTCAACCTACTCGTCTTTTTTCTCATCTAAGTTTGAATTCCTTCATAATTGATCTTCATGCATTTCTTTTCTTTACACTCTGTATACATATTGACTTTTATTAGTTATATATGATCTCCATGCATTTCTTTTCTTTACACGTACTCCCTCCATTATGTAAGAATTTGGTAGCTATGCCCTAGCTAGCATGTGGTATCTAATAATTGAAAGTTTATTGGGTTCTCCATCTACAATGAAAGAGTGCTAGCTAATTAAACACTTATGCCTTATACATCACTCTCGTCCCGTTTTAGGGTTGGTTTGCAACTACTTTTAAAAAAACACTTCTCAGCTTTTGAATTTAAAAAACACTTATTTTCCCAAACACTACAACTTTTATTTTTCTCGGCTTCCGCGTCAAAAGTGCTTTTAATTTTTCTATTACACAAAAAACACTTATTTTACCAAACACTACCCACTTTTACTTTTCAAAATCACTTTTTTCTCAAATACTATCAACTTTTATTTAATCATTTCTCCTCATTTCATTAAAAAAGCACTTTTTTAAAGGCAGAAACTGTTGCAAACAGACCCTTAATATTTTTCTTCTCTCTTAAAATGTATTTCCAACGCAAAACTAATATGAAGCTAGTATTTGTTGTTATTATAACTATAAGCACCGAAGGACGTATGAATTACTACTATATACGTAGTATATACATTAAAGATACGTATTATAAGTATTAAAAAAGTATTTACTATAAGCAAATCATAATAAAAAATATTTCTATGAGTAACAAAAAAGTATGAGCGATATTACAAGACAATATTGACATCAATAATTCCTATTTTATAGCATCTTCCAAAAATAATCTCTACTGGTGAAGTTTAAAACAATAATCCTAACTAATTAACCATTTCACAAAAATTAGCCGGGTACTATTGTTGTTTTTCTTAATTTTTAAATATAATGGAGCAAAAATATATTAAAGCATTAATAATATTATATTTTTGTTAGACTTATTCCTACTATAAATTTAGTTTAATATTCAATATTTTTCATGAAACATAATTGGAACATCTGAACACATACTCATCAAAGTCTCTATTAACTTTCATTCCTTATCAATATTTTTTTGTATGCATTTTTATTGATTATAATAGTGATTATTTCAAAGTGGTTTTAGTTTTATTTAACCTAATGCAAAACATCCAACCATATTAATACAAAGTATAAGATATTTTTTTTATCATATAAGAAATATGTTTATATTTGCATTTATGAAACTATATATATTCAAATAAAAGTATCTCACATATATTCAAATAAAAGTATCTCAAATATGTTTATATTTGCATTTATAAAATATGACTAAGTTCAAAATAATTATCATATACTTCGTATTAATATATAATTTAGTATTATTAAAAATACTTTGTAATCTATTTTATAATGAAAATAAACTGAATATAAATAAATTATCGATAAGAAATAAATGATAAAAGTGAATTCAATGCGTATGTGTTGAAATATGTGTTGAAATATATTTTAGATGGGATAAAAATGAATATTAAATTGAATTCATAATAGGAATAAGTTTAAGGGGAATTATACTATTGTTAATGCTAATATGTTTTTGCATCATTATATTTAAAAAAACGAAAAAGTTAACATTGTTATGTACTCCCAATTTATTTTGTGAAAAATTAACTAATTGTGATTATTACTGTGAACTTTCTTCCAGTAAAAATTCTTTTTGTAGAATATATAAAAGCAGGGATCATCTCTCTATTTCGTCATATTACAATAGTTGTAATATAGTAGTAACAAGATATGTACTTCAGCGCATGCACTTTTTGGTTGCATGGAATAGTATAATGTTAGTACAAATATAATTGTCGCACAATACTATACACTAATCACTTTTAGTGCATATAGAAATTTGCAATATCAGTTCATAACTTTTGGTTGTGTTTTTTTTTTTTTTTTTTTTGAAGTAGTTGTGTTTGTTGTTATTACTCTTGTAAATAAATTAAAATGTGATAAGCTTGAGGATGTTACGTTGCACTAAGGTCGGTGTAGTCATGATTTAATTTTGTACTACGGTTGCAAGTAAGAGTTGCATCAAGGGAACTAGGTATAGAGATGGCAATAAATGAGATTGGGTTATTAAGAATAGAAAATTAGTGTTTAGTCCTTGAAAGATTAAGATTTTAGTCTTATTTGTGCAATTATATTTCCATTTAATTCTAATTATGATATATAATTACTATATTTCATACTTTTACTTCTATTTATTTGTTTTTACTGAAAAATGTATAGAATTCTTACATCAAATAATACTATTCTTCAAAAAGGTTATTCCAAAATAATTTCAAGCACGCAAAATTCAAATGCCAACTCCTGATGGTGGTGGCAAGAGGTGTTGGAAATTTATTGAAAATAAAGCTCAATGTGTTCAACATGATCCGTAATTGATTTTTATTAAGATTGATCGAGCTTTAATTGAAATATTTATAATTAAAGGAAGAATATAAAGTATAATTATTATTTTATAAGACATGAAGATTACTTTTTCTTTGATAATGGAAGTCTTATACGGAGCACTACGGATAAGAATTATTAGTAAATTATGTTAATTGAGTTTTGTTATGTTTGACCGGTCAAATACGTAAGTTTTAAAATTAAAACACTGCGTATTGTAAATAGGCAACCATCATGTCCTGACGTAAAGTTGCAATTTTATTGAATGATCGCAATGCTTCTCAAAGGACAAACTGACTCTTTTATCTCTATAATACGGATGTTGAACACGGCAAGAAGTGTAAAAAGGGATTACGATCTTCTTGTTATGCCTACTCGATTCCTATATCTGCAGTATTAGTAATAGAGTAATTAAGCCCACTTTATATACAAATCACTTGTTTGGTGTTATTTTGTTAGTAACCAAAATACACTGCACACCTTCTTTTTATCCCAAAAGTTCTATCTTGTAACCCAGTTACTGTGATAATAAGGGTAGATAGTAAACTTTTAGGAAAGCGTATTCAATACGTGACTAGAAGTGATATCCGGTCTAGCCATTATTCTACACCCTTATAATTTACTATTTTTATCCTCCTGTTCTAACAATCTAAAAGTTTACTATTCCGAAAATATGGCCGCTACTCAACGTGATATCAACACCAATTTTCAAAAATTGGAAAAGTTCGAAGGTGTGGAATTTCGAAGGTGGCAGAAAAAGATGCATTTTCTGCTCACTACTTTGAAGGTCGTCTATGTGTTAAGCACCCCGAGGCCGCCCGAGGATGATGAAAACGAGACTTTGGAAACAAGCCGCCGCCGCATAAAGTGGGACAACGACGACTACATTTGTCGTGGGCATATTTTGAACGGTATGTGTGATTCTCTGTTTGATGTGTATCAAAATGTTGAATATGCTAAAACGTTGTGGGAGTCCCTAGAATCTAAGTACATGACCGAGGATGCTTCGAGTAAGAAATTTCTCATTAGTAACTTTAATAGTTACAAAATGGTTGATTCCCGTCCGATCATGGAACAATTTCATGAAATTCAACGTTTATATGATCAACTTTTGATACACAACATGCATGTCAATGAAACCTTTGGTGTCGGTTCTATAATTGACAAATTACCCCCTTCATGGAAGGAAGTGAAAAATAGCCTCAAACGTAAAAAGGAGGATTTGTCAATGGAGCAACTTGGTCGCCGACTTCAAATTGAAGAAGGCATTAAGTTGCGTGAAGGTGACAATGGTAAAAAGAGCGACCTTCCAATTTCCTCTATAAATATTATGGAGGAGGGACAGTCAAGTGGGACTAAGAAATATAAAAAACGTCCCGGGAAATTCACCAAAGGTTCCAAGTTTCAAAAGAAGCCGAAAGATAAGAAAGTAGGCTCTTGTTGGGAATGTGGTGGTCCACACTTCAAGAAGGACTGCCCGAAGGTGAAGAAGAAAAAGGCCCAATTGAATGGTCATCCTAACGGTGGCCAAGACAACCAAGGTTAGAATCTTTTTGTAGTTATAAATGATGTTGATAACAACATGATTTTTGTAGCTATGCTTTCTGAAATTTGTGTTGTGCAGGATGATGAATCTTGGTGGATTGACACCGGAGCCACAAGACATGTATGTAAAGATAGGCAGACTTTTAAGACTCTAAAAGAGTTGGAAGAAGGGCCAATCTTATACATGGGAAATGATTCTACTGTGCAAATTCAAGGAATTGGCCAAGTAGAGTTGGAATTAACTTCCGGAAAGAAATTAATTCTTAATGATGTGTACTTTGTACCACAAATCCGGAAAAATCTTGTCTCCGGTGGCATCCTAAATAACTTTGGGTTTAAACTTAGCTTTGAAGCAAATAAGTTTATTTTATCTAAGGGTGGTGTATTTGTAGGCCAAGGTTTCTATTGTAATGGCATGTTCAAACTAAGTGTTGCTAATAAAGTAGTAAATTCTGTTTATATGGTTTGTGATTCTTCTTTGTGGCACAATAGGTTATGTCATGTTAATTATCGTAGATTAAGTGACATGTCAAAAGTAGGAATAATTCCTCCTTTTAATATTAACATAGAAAAGTGTAGAACTTGCATGTTAAACAAAATCACAAGAAATTCTTTTCAAAGTGTTGAAAGAAAATCCAACATGCTTGAATTAGTGCATAGTGATTTGTGTGATTTCCATAGCACTCCTTCTTTTGAAAATAAAAAAATATGTAGTCACATTTATTGATGATTGCACAAGATATTGTTATTTATATCTTTTATTTTCAAAAGATGAGGCAATGGATAAATTCAAAGTTTTTAAAACTGAAGTTGAGTTACAAACAGGAAAGAAAGTAAAAAGGCTTAGAACTGACAAAGGGGGAGAATATTATGAGCCTAAGTTTTTTGAATCCGTTGGAATAATCCATGAAACAACAGCCCCTTACACGCCGCAACAAAATGGCATTGCTGAAAGAAAGAATAGAACTTTGAAAGAAATGGTTAATTCCATGTTGTCAATTCTGGCTTAAGTAATGGATTTTGGGGTGATGCTATGTTAACTGCTTGTTATATTCTTAATAGAGTGCCTAACAAGAAAAATAAGATTACCCCATATGAATTTTGGCACAAAAGAACACCCCAACTAAGTTATCTTAGGGTATGGGGTTATAGGGCAATCGTGAGATTACCTGAACCTAAACGAAAAACGTTAGGTGAAAAGGGGGTAGAGTGCATATTTATTGGATATGCTGAACATAGTAAATCTTATCGATTCTATGTTATTGAACCGAATGACTCAATTGCGGTTCACACTGTTATTGAGTCTAGGGATGCTCTTTTTATGAGAAGCGGTTCACTTCTATTCCTAGGCCAAAGGATGTTGATCCCGGTCTAAGTAATTCACACTTACATGAACTGGAAAAGGATCATGAAAATGAGCCTGAAATAAGACAGAGTAAGAGGGCTAGAAAAGAAAATTCATTTGGTCCCGATTTTCAATTGTATTTGGTTGAGGGATCAAGAGAGACCCTTGAAACTCAAACACTATATTGTTATAGTGTTGAGGAGGATCCTAACTCTTTTGAGGAGGCAATGAAATCTCAAGATGCTTCCTTCTGGAAAGAGGCCGTGAATGATGAAATGGATTCAATCATGGGCAATAATACTTGGGTTCTAAGTGATTTACCACCCGGTTGCACACTAATCAGTTGTAAATGGATTTTCAAGAAGAAGATGAAAGTAGACGGTACCATTGACAAGTTTAAAGCTAGATTGGTTGCACAAGGCTTTAAACAAAAACATGGTATTGATTACTTTGACACATATGCACCGGTAGCTAGAATAACTACCATAAGATTGTTAATTGCTTTATCGGCTATTCACAATCTTGTAATTCACCAAATGGATGTCAAAACTGCATTCTTAAATGGTGAATTGGAGGAGGAGGTGTATATGAAACAACCTGAAGGGTTTGTTGTTAAAGGACAAGAAAAGAAAGTTTGTAAACTTGTCAAGTCCTTGTATGGTCTGAAACGAGCACCTAAACAATGGCATCAAAGATTTGATGAGGTGGTGCTGAAAAATGGTTTTAAAATTAACCAATCCGACAAGTGCGTGTATAGCAAATTTAATGAGCATGGTAATGGTGTCATTATTTGTCTATATGTGGATGACATGCTCATATTTGGCACTGATTTGCGGCAAGTGAAAGAAACAAAAGCTTTCCTCTGTTCAAACTTCTCCATGAAAGATATGGGTGAAGCGGAAGTTATCCTTGGAATTAGGATAATTAAACAAGGTGATACTATCACCTTAACACAATCTCACTATATAGAGAAAGTGTTGAAAAGATTTGGGAGTTTGGATTGTTCACCAGTTTCCACTCCCATGGATCCTAGTTGGAAATTAGTTCCAAATAGTGGGAACGCTGTATCACAGCTTGAATATGCTAGGGTGATTGAGTGTTTGATGTATGCAATGACTAGCACCCGGCCAGATATTGCATTTGCGGTAGGAAAGCTAAGTAGATATACTAGTAATCCTAGTATATTTCATTGGCAAGCCTTGAAGCGAGTGCTGAAATATCTAAAGAAAACAATGAGCTTCGGCTTATGTTATAAGAGTGAACCCTCTATATTAGAAGGTTATACGGATGCAAGTTGGATAACTAATCAAGAGGATTATTCATCCACAAGTGGATGGTTATTCCTTCTTGGAGGAGGTGCTATTTCTTGGGCATCTAAGAAACAAACTTGTATCACGGACTCTACCATGGCTTCAGAGTTTATAGCTTTAGCATCAGCTTGTAAAGAAGCAGAATGGCAACGAATTGAATGAATGATGTAAAATGAGGCAACAACATTATTTTAAACTTGTTAATGAACACCTAAGTCTTAAAGATTAGAGATAATAGGATGACGGATGGGATTACGTACATATCTCATTAGAATGTTGCTCATAACTTTTCTTTTCTTATATTCTTGTCTAACTTTTGTCTTTGTTGACTTCTATCAATTTGTATTAAATAATAGGATGACGAAGTATTAGATATTAAGAAAATTCTCTAAATACGACTAAAATAAGGTAGAATTTCAAAAAGATGACTGCTATATTTTATTGGACAAAAATATGACAAAAAAAAGAGCAAATCTGACAAAACTACCCCTATGAAGTTTCCCAGGTGTGCGTGCAGTCCGTGCTACAGATAAGTGACGAGCAATTTGTTGTAGTGCGTCAAAATAAATCGATACTAACACTTATACGTAGTATATGTGAAATAGAGTTCGTGTCCACAAGAAAATGAATAATTCTCTTTTTATAAAACTAGTAAATAAAAAGGGGGTTTTGGGATTGTTTGGAATTTGATTAATTTAAACATCAAGATGAAAAAACATATATGTGATTTAATTTAAAGATAAAAAGAACTTGGTCTTGCTACTTTCTACTTGTTGATATATTTTAGTCGATCATTGTTATATCTTTAACTCATCTCCTCTCGAATACTCAATCGAGGAGTATCTCCAATTCATTGAGGGTAGTTATTAACAATAATGACCGTTCATTAATAACCCTTACTATTAATCAAATATAGAACAACGCCGTATACCGATTTAATAGTAGCATTTAATCTCTTAACTCCTTGATAAAATCAATTGAGATTGATAACCTCAACACAACAGTTTCGATTTAACCAACACAACTAATCCCTCTTAAGTTTATTAACCACGACCGTGCATTAATAAACCGAAGTTACTTACTTGTGAAACCATCAACGATTAACCATCGGTTCGTTGATCGTTTCTAGTGCTAACTAATGTCGAGATGTTAACTAATTGTCATCTTAGCAACACTCTCCAACATTAACATAGAGATAGATTAAGGGAAGAATTAATATTCAAGGGACGAAATTAAGAAAATTACTCACAACTTTAATAATCAACAAGCTTCAAGAGCAACACCAAGAAATGGAAGTTTAGCTCCTCATTTGGAGACTAAACATGCTATAAAAATATAATAGAAATACTGTTCTAAGTTGAGCTTAAGAGTATGAAAGAAAGAGTGATTCTTTGTGAAGGAAAAGTGTGCTATTTATATAGGTGTTTTTCAACACCTTGGGCCGGGTACCCGACCGGGTTAGGTACCTACCCGACCAGGTCCAGTCAAAATCAAATATCCTCCACGTTCTGGTGATCTTCAGCACATCATTTTGTCCCGGGTCAAGTCAGACCCGACCCGGTCAAGTGGAGGACCCGACCGGGTCCAGTAGTTTCCTGTGATGCTTCGGTTTTTAAATCAGACCCGACCGGGTCAAGTGTTCTACCCGGTCGGGTATTTGCTCCTGGACAGTCAAAACTCCTTTTTCTTCACTTCAAAGTCCCCCTTTTCAACACCACAAATCCTAACTATACTTTACAACTTATAAATGAAAACTAAAATACAATTACAACTAAAATCACACAAATGTTTACAAACTAAATAAAATGGTAAACAATCTACACAAATTAAACTTAAAACATACATTTATGCACTACTAATTAGTGCATATCAAACACCCCCACACTTGAACCTTTACTCGTCTCGACTAAACCAAATCCTATCCAAGAAGTCCTTAAAATGACAAGAGTATCAACTCAAACATTGTTTTAGAACAACACAAAATATCCCCAAAAATATAACCTCAATTTTTCATCGTTACCCTTAGGAATTCACATTAGGTTTCCATTAGGAATTAGTGCATAGCAAACACCCCACACTGCGTGTCATTTATTAGTGATAGAGCTCAAGTCATATCATTAAAGTTAATATCGTCTTGAGTCTACTGTCAAGATTCGATCTTTGTTTTATTAATTTTAATATAAGTGATTCTCATTGAAATAAGATTTGCCGTAATTTTGCCTTTATTATTTTTGTAAATGCTCCCACTTTCTGGTTTTAGGAGTTACTCTGTCCGAATAAGTTTTAAAAGTTATAGATAAATAAATTCAAATAATGGTAAAGATTATAAATCAGTACATTTAAATGTCTAAATGCGTAAATTACAAATCTAGATTTTTTTTTGGAAGAATCTAGAAATTATTATATGCTGTAATTTTAAATTGGAAATTTAAATTATATTGTTGTTCAAAATTATGTTTTGAAATTTGAATTGAAAATGTTGTTAAATATAAATACGAGTACGGATTACGTGGATTTAAAATTTGAGAGAGAAAATTCGAATATTAATAAATAAGAGAATTTATTCAATTTGAATCTATAATTACTAGGTTTACAATTGTTATTTCAAAATAGTTAGGTTATTTCTGAAAATAATGAATTATGTAAATTAGTACTTTGTGTTTTTTATTTAATTTGTACTTCCTCCGTCCCATTTTACCAGTCTTACTTTCTTTTTAGATTGTCTGGTCTGGCCTAAAATAAGTGTCACATTTCTTTTTTTTGGAAAGATATATGAATTCTACAACATCTCACTTTAATAAACT